TGTAACTTGTTCGTAATAAAATCAAAAGTCAAAAAGCCTTTTTAAAATGAGGACAGTACACATGCAGAACAATGGCCTTGGTGAAGCTGTTTTCGCCTCGCATTATGACGTTAATTCGTTCCAGCGAAATCGCTGTAGAACGAAAATGTCATAATGCGAAAATAAAAAGCCCATTGAAACCCCTTCAATGCGTTCCAATAGGAGGGAAACTCACAGTCCAGCGAAGATCCTCCATAGGGCGGCCATTTTCGGTGCCTGTGCAGCGAGGAATCCGTTCCAGAAAACAGTGGGGAGCCATTTTATTTACCCGGTGGCCATTTTGAAACTGCTGATCAGCTGTCCGAAAATCATCGTTTTGCAAAGAATCGGTTCCCGAAGCAGGGAACCGATCATTGCAAAGCAAAAAACCCCTATTCAGACCATCATTTTGCAATCGCAATTGCGATCGCAAAAAGATCGTCATAATGTGGTTTTGTCATAATGCGGGGCAATCGTAAAGCGAGGCACGACTGTAATATGTTTGAAGTAATCCTTATCTCTTAGCTGGCTTTTGAGTAGCTTTGAATTCCCCCAAAAGTTCTCCTTTTAATTCTTAGAAACTGGTCATATGGCAAAATACACCTTGATAATCTAGGATGAGAGCTCTCAGATCTAAGTTATGCATCGCAATTGGATGGTTTCCTGTAAATTATTGTGCATACTTTACATCCTTCTTTTTTTACAGTTAGGCCTAAACATGAATTTCTTTATAGTGATAGTGAGTATTAAATTGGATGTTCATATTGATGGAGTTTATCCACCTGAACAAAAAATTCTTAGATCCTTTTTACTACCCCTCCATATTGCAAACACTGATACATCTCTAAACCAATTTTCCAGATGGTTTGTAAAAGGATTCTTGGTGTAAGCCACAGTTCTTTCAAATTAGTCCATATAAAGATTTGCTATTTCTGGGGTTGTAGCACCTCTCTTAATCTGCCTATAGAATTTATTGTCAAATTTAAGATAATTCTTTTTAAAATCTGACTCTGCTAAAGAATGTAAGATAGTCAGATGTTTTTCTGTTCTCTTGTTCAGAATATCTCTCATAGTCAGTAAAGCCTCTTCCTGGGGTATTCCCATAGTAAGCCAAATATCCTGCTCTTCTACTGCAAGAAATCCCAGTTGATTGATTTATGAAGTCCCGAGGGTCTTGCATATAGGGGGTTCCTTAATAACTGGTGGCCTGGGGGGGTGTTAAATAGATTGTTGTGCTCTGTTGTTTTAAGTGTGTTTTAGTATTGATTTCATTACTCTTTTTAATATACTTATTTAATTCCTTTTTAATACCTATATACCTACTGTTTTTAGCTCTCTCTTTTTTAATGACATAAGCTTCCTTGGCTTCTTTTTAAGGAGAAAGTCTGGATAGAAATATTTTAAATAAATAAATGGAATTTTGGGTATGAAAGGTTTCAAAAAATAATCTACAGATTCTGACAGGAGCTCTAGTACCAAATTTGACCCAGAGACAATATGACACTCTGCAACAGAGTTTGCACCTTTATGAATTTCAGGTAAAGTGTAGAAAACAGATACCCTGGGATTCACATTCAGTAGAAATGCATATTCTGCATTCCTGATATAGCCCAGATTTAAACTTTCCTCCCCAGTGATCTTGATCTCTAATAATAGGTGGGATTATGACGGCATAGCCCATAAAATGATCTATCGGCCAATTGTCTTTAAATTTCTTGTTTATAATCTGCAGTATTTGGGATAACTACAGCAAGTCTGTAGACCTACTGACTTTCCAAAATACTGCTGTAATTTAATGTTTCTTTAAAAATGTCTTGGTTGTGTGGGATCACGCTGGGACATAGGCACAAAAGACCTGTGTTTCAATTTTATTTACCGTATTTGCCGGCGCACAAGGCGACCGGCCGTATAAGACGACCCCCCAACAGGAGGAGGAGGAAGAGGGGAAACGGGGGGTGGCGGACAAGCGAGCGCGCGGCTGGCTCAGCGGCGCAGGGCAGCGGGCAGCTCAGCCGCGGCTCAGGCATGGCAGCAAGAGGGCGAGGAAGAGCAAGAGACTGAGGAGGAGG